AAAGGGGTCCTTACTCTTCCCTACTCTTTTCAAAACTATAAAAAAAAAAGTTCCGGCTTTAGTTCTTTAGTTCTCATCCACTAAAGCTGAATATTGGCCAAAGCTTTGTCTACCTGTTTTTATTGTACATTCTATGACTCTGGTTTCCTTCCCAGGTCTCCAGTTTTATTTGCGTAGGGTTAATGTCCGCTCCCTAATTGGCAATTCATTACAGTGGAATTTTCGTCCCGCTTTTGTATAGTGGATTAGACGGCTATTTTTTTCTACTTTCTTTTTTTCTCTATTCGGGGAATTTGGCCGTGTCAATGCGGCTTCGACGGGTGAAAAGCCAAATCCAATGTTTGTGTTTTGTATCTGTTTTCAGAAAACTTCTAGCTGGGTCGAGGACTGATTATTCCAGAGGAAGAGGGTTCGGGAAGTCCCTGTGGATGCAGCAGGTCAAGAGGAGAAAGGAAAATTGAAGGAGGAGAGGGCAGAGTGCAATATCTAAAAATAAAAAGAGAGAACGTTCCATGTAGCTGCTCTCTGATAGTCTATACACACTGCCCATGATGTCTCTAAAGGGGGAATTCCTAAGCCAAGGCAAGAGGAATAACACTACAATGCAGAAGTAGCCCCTGACTGTGGTGAGGAGGTCTCAGCACTGGTGTCTGCAAGACAAAGACTAACAGGGTTATTCACAAAAGGGTGAAGAGTTTGGAGGAGGCAGGAGAAGTGAACAATATAGTACAACATAGCTGAACTGGATCGTGAGCTGAATTGGAGAATTTTTCAGAATCAGCTATTTTGTCCTAGATTGTTCACTTCTCTGGCCTTCTCCAAACACGTCACCCTTTTGTGAATAACCCTGTAAGGGGCTGATGTACAAACATTTTGCCCATTGTATAGTTGGGCGAATGCCGTTCGCATGTCATTCCTGCCACTAGATGGAGCCAAGGAGCATAGGAAATGGCTATGCTCTTCGGCTCCATCTAGTGGCAGCAATTATGTTTTTACATCAGCCTCTTAGTCACTTCATGTAATAATATATGTACATGGGAGCAGCCCTATTTGTTCATTACATATGCAGGCTCTGCTTCTTGCTTAACAGTTTTGGACAGTGATTGAGCTGACTGCAAATCTATGGACGAGCTCAGACTCAACATGACTTGACTAGCTGAGTACAGCTCAAGCTCAACGTGGTCTATTATGTAAGTGATTGTAGTCGCTGTGTAGCTAGACTGCTGCTTGCACTGTCGTTGCAATGACCCTTGCAGCTAAAATATACAATTGCAATTACACAAAATTGTGAAATTCGCACCAACAGACAATAAGTACAACTAAAAAGTAAGGGGACATTGAAAAATAAACAAAAAACATCCTCTTGAACAGTTCTCATTCATTTCTGGCTCCATAGCGGGCTTGCTAATCCTTTGCACATTTTGTTTGCACAGCCTGTTGGCCTGACTCACCTGAAGATGACTCACGATACAATAGGGTTGCGCTCTCTGGAGCCCGCAGGTTGACGTGGCCTTGAGTTTGTCAGCTCGGCCAACAAGCAGGTCCCCAGTGGCCGGATAGCAGCTGCCTTGAGAACAGCCATGGGGCTGCTCGGGATACTGGGACAATACGCTCACCACCAGAGCTGTTGGCAGAAATGGCAGAGTTAGATGTTTGTACAGATTTTTATATCATTAAAGTCATGAGTACATCACAAACAGACGTTCTAAACAAATTGACAAATGCTGAATGACTGAAACGTTTGAGGCGAAAACCTTTCCTGTAGCCAACAACTGTTCTGGATAATCAGAAAGGGTTGGAAAATCTGTTCTTGCAATATTCCTGTGGTTTGTGATGGTTAGTAGTGTTGAGCAATTTATTGTAAGCTACTTTGCAAGGTGGCTCTGTAGAGTTGTTGACCCTTGGCCTTACCTGCATGGACTTTGCATATTCTTCAAGATGTTATGCTTGTTGAGAGTTCTGGTTTCTACTGGCCAGCATGGGTGTCCTCACCCTTGCATCACACCCCTATTCCTCAAACAACAGAAGTGGTATGGACCAGCCTGAAGCTTATGATTTGCAGATAGCAACATCCAGTCAGAGCCACCTATCCAGCTAAGTTGAGCGGTGTATTGGCTAGAGCATGGTGCCATCCAGGCAGAAGTTGCCTTTTTTTCTGGTCCTACTGACCAGGGCCAAGTTTAAGCACGCTGCCTGGATTTGGAGGAGGGACACATGAAGGAGGATCAATAAACCAGGGCAGTGGGTGGGGGACATGTGATCCTTCTGAGAACCACCGCTTTCCTTACAAAAATGTGTTTTATAACTTAACACACAATGTTCACAGCATTGGCAGAATCTTTAAACAATGTTTCATGTGCATTGGAATGGCCTGTGTCCATCTGCAGAGAACCCTAAAACTAGCACTAACCTCTCTGTAACCCTAATGTTAACTTTCATGATAACACTCCCTGTAAACCTAACACTAACTTTCTGTATTACACGCAAAGCCTAAAATTACCTATCCTTAAGGCTGGGTTCACACCTAGGTGTATCGAATATGCTACTTGGCTGTATCCCAATGGAAACGCGCGACAAAAACGCCCCAAAGAAGCTCCTTTACTTCTTTGGGCGTAGGGCGTTTTGTAGCGAGTTCATACGGCCTGTAATACGCCCAGGTGTGAACCATACCCATAGGAAATAATTTCGGTGTATGAGCGTTTTGCAGATTCTTTCGAACGCGCTACAAAACGCCCAGGTGTGAACCGGGCCTAAGAGTAAGACCTTAACACTAATCCTCCCAGTAATCCTAACACTAACCATCCTGTAGCCCTAACAGTTACCTTCCCTGTAACCCTAAAACTAACCTACCCTGTAACACTAATCCTCCCAGTAACCCTCACACTAACCCTCCCTGTAACGCCAACACTAGCCCTCCCTGTAACCCTAACACTAACCCTCCCTGTAACCCTCACACTAACCCTCCCTGTAACCCCCAACACCATCCCTCCCTGTAACCCAACACTAACCCTCCCTGTAACCCTAACACTAACCCTCCCTGTAACGCCAACACTAGCCCTCCCTGTAACCCTAACACTAACCCTCCCTGTAACCCCAACACTAACCCTCCCTGCAATCCCATCACTAACCCTCTTTGTAACCCCAACACCAACCCTCCCTGTAACCCTAAGACTAATCCTTCCTGCAACATTAACACTAAGTTTAACCCCCCCTGTAAGCCCAACACTAACCCTCCCTGCAATCCCATCACTAACCCTCTTTGTAACCCCAACACTAACCCTCCCTGTAACCCTAACACTAACCCTCCCTGTAACCCTAGAACTAACCCTTCCTGTAACCCCAACACTAACCCTCCCTGTAACCCTAACACTAACCCTCCCTGTAACCCTAACACTAACCCTCCCAGTAACGCCAACACTAGCCCTTTCTGTAAACCTAACTCTAACCCACCCTGTAACCCTAGAACTAACCCTTCCTGTAACCCTCGCCCTAATCCTTGTTTGCACACTTATTTCTCCTGCAGCTGAATCTTCTGCTCAGAAGACCACCCACACTGCACCAAAAGTTACCAATGGTGGGATTTGGTGCAGCAATTTACTGTTTTGACACAACTTATAGCAACCAGTTTTTTTTGCCCACATTAAAATAAGAAACATTTTTTTTTGGATTAACTTGATTATTTGATATATTCTAACACCAGATATTGGTTTTCAGCACGCCTCACAAATGTCCTCAGATGACTCTGAATAGTTTGCCCATCGCTGATGAGTCCATCACCCTCTGCAAACAAATGATCACATGGCTCCCGCTTGTAAAGTCAGAGATGGAGTTGTGTCTCTACCGTGCCACCTCTGTCTGTGGGAAGAGATCGGAGTTTTGTTTCCGCTGGTTGGTTTTATATAAAAGATCTCTGATTATCGGCTGATAATTTGGGACTAAAAAACTCGATGGGCAGCAGGGGGAAAAAAATAGAGGCTTCGTTCAATCTACAAATCTCTGTAAATATATCAGAATAATCCCCTCCATCTGAAACACAGAGACGTAAAACTCCATCCCTAATGGATATTTGATACAAAGTGCCAAGCAAGTGAACTTATTGCCCACCCGCTTTGTGTTGAGATTGGGTTTGTTTTTTTCCAGGTAATTGGGTTGGGTGTGCAGTTTGGGGTCTGTGAATGTGGTAAATTTGGTGCTAGTTGGAGTGTTTTTGAGAGGACCTGTCTCTGGAATGGAGTCTTTGACTCATCGCGGTCAACTGGAGTGGACCTAGAATTCTTTGGAGGGAGTTGGTCTCTGCAGCAATTCGTAAGTTGTCCCTGAGGCAGTGTGTTGAGGCTGGGGGCCTATTTAATTAATGTGTTCCACAGGGACAGTGAAGAGTTGGTGATAGTGCCTTCGTAGACCCGCCACCTTATTCTCCTGATCAATTAAACATGTTAAATTTGTATTTGTATATGAAAAAATGAACACAAAAAATGCTTCAAATTTAGACTTAAAGGGATTGTCTGCCCTGAAGACACATTTGGGAGATGCGACACCTGCTCCATTTTGTCACGGCCCGTCCTGCAGAGATACATTGACCGAAGTTCCACAGCCCTCTAATAAAAATACCGTCTATCCCCAGAAATAAACTCCCAGAGCAGACTGAGTGACACCTCTGCAGAATGTCTATATATATTTAACTGATCCATCCCTAGACAGGGCCTCTGTGCGCTGACTTCTTATCTGCCCCGTACACATTCCTATGCCACCTCCCTGCAGCAGAAAATCCCTGCCAGGACAATTTGCTTTTTTGTTACCATTCCCGTCTAATCATTTCCCAGGAAGAATTCTGATCCTGTCAGTTATTGAGATTTCCAGAGTCCTCACTCCCACATTCCAGCTGTAAAATCCTTGTTAACAGAGGGCCAAGCTGGGCTCCCACCAACTGACGCTGCAGGTTTCAGCACCAGGGGCCCTGTAACCCTTTGTATCCCATTTTAAGAGAACCAATTACTCCAGGATCTAAATATACCAAACCATTACATGACAACACTTGTAAAGCTTTCAATGGAGTAGGGAATGGTTAAAGCCCTTTTGGGTAGAAAAGGGCAAAGAGGACATCTCTTTCTATGTTGTCACCGGAACAAGTGTCCCCATGGGGAGATTTTCCTACTGTGCCTGACAACTGTAAACTTTTGGATTTCCCATCACTTTCTGACCCGTTGATGATGGTGACCAGGACAAAAAGAGAGAGAGAGAGAGTGTGACTCTCCTGGGACACGCACAGCAATGAAATCCTCCAAAAGCAAAAACAATTTTCTAGCTTTCTAGCTTTTATTTCATTTTAACTTTTGAACTTTTCTGAACTTTTCACCTTTTCAAAGTTTTTTTTCACTTTTTAAAAGTTTCACTTTTAAATTGGTATAACTTTTTGAAATTTTTAACTTTTTAAAGTTCATTTTGTTAAAAGTTTTTACTTTTTAATAGTTGAAATGAAGAAGTTCTTATATGAGTAAGATTACTCTGTCTGAGCCTACAGTAAGGATTCCATGTATATAACTTCCCCCCGGTGTGCCGTTCTCATGACACTAGATAGAAGTAGGAACACCGATCAGATCAAATGCGTCTTGGCACTCCAGATGCAGATCAAAATGCGTCTTGGCCTCACATGTTTTGCCTGAGGAAGGGGATCCTGCGAGACCCCGAAACTTTGCACCAGCGTGATATGCTGCATTTACGTCAATAAATTTGATCTGCATCTGGCGTGCCGGTGTCCCTACTGCTATCTTTGTACATAACGGTTGCCATCCATTGACTACCGCAGCACCCATCCAATTCTTATGGAACCAGCGTAGAGGAGTGCGATGGGTTCATGGACTTTTGTTCTCATGGCACTAGCGTCCCTAGGTGGCGCTGATGAGTATAGGTCGTCAGCGCCATCTACGGGTGCCAGTGACTGAAACAGCTTCCACCTGGTGGAAGCCCTAATAGATTTCTTTAATTCGGCCTGTGGGCTGAACAAAATAAATCTAACAGATTCCTCCATTCTTGATAAACAGCGTGTATGGGGAAATCACTCCCGCTGGGGCTATTGTATTGTGCCCATCACTGTCAGAACATTAGGTGTAGTCACTCTTTGATTTTCCACATAGCTTCTTCAACAAAAATAGATTGAGTAGCTGACTTTTCTTTTCTAAAGTTTGTTTTCCTTTGTGCCCCTGGTCAGAAGATTTCACCTCACTTTCTGTCCCAGTGACAAATGGATTTTGAAAATGTTGAGTTTAGCTTCAGTGGTGACACCATTTTCCCATG